CATACAGTAAAACAGTAGGTGAAAAAATAACTTTAGAAATATTTGCCTTCTTCTTAGAGCACACCAGGTGCGTAATTTCCAAGTTCTTTACAACAGATAAACATATCATTGAAATAGTGCACTGATAAGTGAATAATATTTTAGCTTGTTTCTTAAGGGGTAGATTCACCCATAAATGTTCATCACTTGACAAAGTGATGATTTGCATGTGAGAATGAACCCATCACAGATTTAACACCAACAACAGAACTTTTGTATGCCCTGTGTCATTTCAGACAAGTTACATTTCAGTTCACACCTTCAGCTCTGAATTATCCAGTACTTAGTAGATAGGAAATGTCTGTTCATGTACGAAATAGCCCTTAAACATAAAGAAAAGTGCATGTTATTTGTGTTCTGAATAAATTAAACCACTCTCTATTCCCAGATAGACAGAAATTCCAATACACTTTGAGTGAATTAAGTGTGGATCATTGGTATTCAATAATACAAAGTAAAGTTTTCTAATGAAATTGCAGGTCATTAAGTTCTTATAAAAGTTCTCATAGGTAATTGGATTAAAAAGGTACATTCCACAAATCATACAGTGTTTCCCCGAAAATAAGACAGGGTCTTATATTAATTTTTGCTCAGAAAAATGCATTAGGGCTTATTTTCAGGGAATGTTTTATTTTATAGTCATGTCATCTTCTGTTTACTGCACAATGCTGCACAATGGTAGAGGGCGGGATTTCACTTAACTGGGGCTTATTTTTGGGGTAGGACTTATTTTCAGGGAAGCAGAGTAGATACACAAACATTTAACTACATCCTTCCAAAAACAAGCCCCCAAACTTAGCTTGGTCAGTGGAACTACACGTATCTATTTTCATCACATTGTCTGTTGTTTTTAAACTGTTCTCCTACAGTTGGCTGTTCCATGCTTACCTCTTCTTCTTGAGAGGCCTGAATAGCTCTACAATTTGAACTGAACAAAGATGAGCCTGTATGTGCATCTTCATGCAACATTTCTATTATTCCTTCTTCTGGATGGATACTAGGATCGTAATCTCTACAATCTTTTGAATGTGGACTGAAAAGCTTTGTTTTCGAGGTTACAGAGTCAAATAGATTACGGTCACCATTTGAAGGTATTAAAAAAGTTTCCAGACTCTCGGATGAAGTCACATTGAATGTTTTGACATATTCTGTCCCTCCCCTTGTGCCTAGTAATTTACTGTCAAAAGGAAATGTATAAGTGACTTCTTTTAAAATGGCAACTTTGCTGGTGCCTGGTTTTTGACCATTGCCATCTTTATTATGATGCTGAATGAGGCTATCTGGGGTAATTGTGTCTTTGTTCTCTTTAACACCTACAAGGTTTAAGAATTTTGTGGGACTGCTAGTTCCAGAGTCAGCTACACTAAGTACTTGTGAACTTACAAGGCGTCTTTCTAGCCTTTCAGATACGTGCTCATAGGCAGTGATCTTTCTGTGGCTCAGTTCTGCTAAAGGATAGTGCACCTTGCCAATAGATGCTTCCTGCTTATAAGCATTTTGATAAAGAACAGCAGTTTCACAGTAATTGTTGTCCTGGAGTTGGAACAAATGTCTTGCGATTATGGAGAGCAGCCTACCGTCCCCAGCTGAGAAAGTTACAAGTCCACATTTGAAGGCAGACATAATTTTCAACGTTAGGCTTCAATGTGCCCTCATAGTGATTAAAAAAATTACGGTGAGGCAATTATCTTATACGAAAACAGTTATAATAATTTTAACTTACAAAAAAAGAGCATTGGCCCTTAAAAACATCAGAAACTGGATTTTGTAAAGTGCTTCTTTTATTATTAGGCATTGTCCACTATCCAGTGAAGTATGTTCATGCAAGCATAACTCACGACAGTCTAAGAAAACCACTCCTATTCCATACATAAAGTTCGGCATCAAAAATACTAAATGTGACTACGTACATCCAGATTCTGCTTTCCAGTAACACTGGCATTTATTTATTTTTAGTAAATTGACATTAGTTTCCCAGCTCATTTTATCACTATTATTCCTTATATTCCCATTTCAGGCCTTTCTCCCTTAAAGTTTTATGTCTCTTGAACACACTCCTGCCAAACTTAACATCCTATTGATTTCAATAGGAGACGTTCAGCTTTATTATCTCTTGTTGAATGGGACTTTCAGGCAGCAATCCTATATTCAGCTACCTGGGAGTAAGTGCCATTGAATGCAATGGACTTGCTTCTGAATAACATGTATAGGATTAATTGCCACTCTGCAGTCCCAAGCACAGTCACTTCAAGTTACACTTCATTTAATTCAGCAGTATATACTGATAAGGGAACATCCATCTGTTTCTGTATACTACATAACGTTGGCTGGATTGTGCTCCTTATTTCTATTTTTCAGGCAAAAGAATGTGTGCACTGGATCCAAAAAGTTGTACAGTGCACCATGCTTCAGAAAAAGTAAAAATGGGGACCATAATGTGTAAATGCTCGAGAAACTGGTCATGGTGCATTTTGATAAAATATTTCAACCAAGTATTCCTATACCAAAATTTCATTTTTAAAAAAGATGAAGAAAGTATGCTACTTCTATAAGCTCAGAGAGCTAATGCATGTACTATATCGTGAAACAACAGCACATTTACATACAGTAAAACAGTAGGTGAAAAAATAACTTTAGAAATATTTGCCTTCTTCTTAGAGCACACCAGGTGCGTAATTTCCAAGTTCTTTACAACAGATAAACATATCATTGAAATAGTGCACTGATAAGTGAATAATATTTTAGCTTGTTTCTTAAGGGGTAGATTCACCCATAAATGTTCATCACTTGACAAAGTGATGATTTGCATGTGAGAATGAACCCATCACAGATTTAACACCAACAACAGAACTTTTGTATGCCCTGTGTCATTTCAGACAAGTTACATTTCAGTTCACACCTTCAGCTCTGAATTATCCAGTACTTAGTAGATAGGAAATGTCTGTTCATGTACGAAATAGCCCTTAAACATAAAGAAAAGTGCATGTTATTTGTGTTCTGAATAAATTAAACCACTCTCTATTCCCAGATAGACAGAAATTCCAATACACTTTGAGTGAATTAAGTGTGGATCATTGGTATTCAATAATACAAAGTAAAGTTTTCTAATGAAATTGCAGGTCATTAAGTTCTTATAAAAGTTCTCATAGGTAATTGGATTAAAAAGGTACATTCCACAAATCATACAGTGTTTCCCCGAAAATAAGACAGGGTCTTATATTAATTTTTGCTCAGAAAAATGCATTAGGGCTTATTTTCAGGGAATGTTTTATTTTATAGTCATGTCATCTTCTCCCCCCCCCCTTATAGTAATGTAGCTTGCAGTCAAAAGTAATGTTGGGGTCGAAAGGGTGGCTGCTTTGGAAGCCACACTAAAGCTCCTCTGTCTGGGCTTATTTTTGGGGTAGGACTTATTTTCAGGGAAGCAGAGTAGATACACAAACATTTAACTACATCCTTCCAAAAACAAGCCCCCAAACTTAGCTTGGTCAGTGGAACTACACGTATCTATTTTCATCACATTGTCTGTTGTTTTTAAACTGTTCTCCTACAGTTGGCTGTTCCATGCTTACCTCTTCTTCTTGAGAGGCCTGAATAGCTCTACAATTTGAACTGAACAAAGATGAGCCTGTATGTGCATCTTCATGCAACATTTCTATTATTCCTTCTTCTGGATGGATACTAGGATCGTAATCTCTAAAATCTTTTGAATGTGGACTGAAAAGCTTTGTTTTCGAGGTTACAGAGTCAAATAGATTACGGTCACCATTTGAAGGTATTAAAAAAGTTTCCAGACTCTCGGATGAAGTCACATTGAATGTTTTGACATATTCAGTCCCTCCCCTTGTGCCTAGTAATTTACTGTCAAAAGGAAATGTATAAGTGACTTCTTTTAAAATGGCAACTTTGCTGGTGCCTGGTTTTTGACCATTGCCATCTTTATTATGATGCTGAATGAGGCTATCTGGGGTAATTGTGTCTTTGTTCTCTTTAACACCTACAAGGTTTAAGAATTTTGTGGGACTGCTAGTTCCAGAGTCAGCTACACTAAGTACTTGTGAACTTACAAGGCGTCTTTCTAGCCTTTCAGATACGTGCTCATAGGCAGTGATCTTTGTGTGGCTCAGTTCTGCTAAAGGATAGTGCACCTTGCCAATAGATGCTTCCTGCTTATAAGCATTTTGATAAAGAACAGCAGTTTCACAGTAATTGTTGTTATTGTTGCTGTTATTGTTGTAAGCACTCTCTTTATTATTCTGCAGTACAGGTTCATCATCTGGGTTAGTAACTGGTATGACTTCCCCAGCATCCTCTTTGCCTGTTTTCCCATCTTTCTCCTTTCCAACCTGCTGCTCACATACAGTATCACATTCATGTATACTCTTCATACATTCTTTTTCCTTTTGAGATTCTGCACCACCATTCATTCCCCCCTGGACAGTTTGGTTTTCTTCATTCTTTCCCGCCTTTGCTGCACTCATGTTCATAGGCTCTTCCCCCTTAGAAGCCAGAAGGGGCAAGGAATGGCCATTGGATTCTAAGTTGATTGTTTCATCTTTCTTTTTCTCGTCAGTCTCTGGAAGATTTTTGCCATCATTTGCTAGCTGATGCCGGTTTCTGTCACATGTGGCAGGATTTGTACAGGTCCTGGTGATCTCCTTTTCAGTATTCTCTGGGGGCCATTTTGGTTTATTCATTTTAAGTTCCTCTTCTACAGAGAACGACTTTTTGAGTGCTTCTGTAGAAGGAGGCCATGTAATATTTAATTTGCTTCTTTCTGTATTCTGTTTTAAACTGTCACTTGAATGTACTTTCTCAATGGTGGGATGAAAATTTTGATTGGTAATTGATTTATCCACCTTGGATATGGGTGGGCTGACTTCTTTCGCAAGTGCAGAACCAATTAAACTCTTTTGATCTTTGGAAATCCACAGTTCTTTGTGTTGCCTGTGTCCGAAACCTTCATCATAATTTCCTTTGGATTTGAAAAGTTGCTTAAAATGCGGTTTACAATATATTTTGCCATGAAGTGAAGCATAATTTCCCAAGCTGTCAAATCAAACAGAAATTTTTTTATGGCATTTATAAATCTATCAAACATGCTCCAAGAATATAAATTATTGTTTGACATTTTAATTACCCATAAATCACAATGTCTATAAATGCAACCTTCACTGATATCACTTTAAGGGAAAAAAACATTTTATTTAGTGCATGCTATTGATCAGATTAAATCATTTTGTTTCAGGTTAATCATATTTAGAGCAGATCTTCTGCAGAAAGAAGAAGGAACTGAAGAGATTTCCCTTGAGATATTTACTTTAAAACATTTCTGATTTGTCCACTCACTTTTTACAGAATATCTGCAAGAAGTCACATTACTGTTCTTTACTGTTTTCCCCATAGCCATGTCAAAATACCATAGAAAATCCAGTTTTTGAAAGAAAGAATGGAATATTTTACAACAACAACTCCCTCATGTTTTTAAAGAGACCTTGCTTTGATGTCTGCAGTGATTTATCAGGCTAACTTTCACACATCTGCTCCAGGACACCTTCATTCTCACTTTCTCCATTGGTATAATTTTAATCAGTATTTTTAAAATGTATTTTTCAACTTGTACTAAAATTTCTTTTTACATGTTTGTGTGTGTTCAAACTATAGCACTTAAAAGTATATTTTAATGCAGATTAAAACAGTAACTTAGAAATCAAACTACCTTTTCAGTCTGCATGCTTTTACGAATGGGCAGTCACGGCAATAATGATGGGTGGAAATGATGACTATTGCCAATCTCTTAATTAGTGGTAAATCACTTCATCAATGTTCTTAAAGCAATCATGCAATAACAGTTACATTTAAAAGTGCTTTGGTGCAAATTATTTATTGCAAGAGTTGCATACTCAAAATTTTATTTCCCAAACAACATGGATGGTCACACACACTGATGTGGAAGAGAAAATGATGGGATGTACCAGCTCCAAAAAGCAACACATTCCCCCCTCCCTTATAGTAACGTAGCTTGCAGTCAAAAGTAATGTTGGGTGGCTGCTTTGGAAGCCACACTAAATCTCCTCTGTCTTTTTCATTCCCCCAGTTGAGATGGGTGTTCTGTTCCTTCCACCTGCGCTTAATGGCACAGGTGAAATTTCCTTCCCAGTTCAACGGCAGGCATTTCTCTTAAATCTTTGTAAAAAAGGCATGTGGAGCACCCACATATTCCTCTGCAAACATAGCTAACGGCAAATAGGATTCAAGGGACAAATCAACTCAGTAATTCTTGCCAATTTGCTTCTAGCTAAATGACTAGGATCATGTTTTTCATCTAGGGAATGACAACGGTGTAAAACATGGGGAGTCAATGCACTTTTCCTACCTTGGATGGAGATGGCCAGGCAGAAGGGGCTCAAGGACACCACCCTATCCTCATTTACTAGCTGCAAACATAGCTAACGGCAAATAGGATTAATGGGACAAATCAACGCTTATTTCAGCCATGCCATCTTGGTAATGTTTTCTTCTAATCAATTCTAGGGAATGACAACGGTGTAAAACATGGGGAATCAATGCACTTTTCCTACCTTGGATGGAGATGGCCAGGCAGAAGGGGCTCAAGGACACCACCCTATCCTCATTTACTAGGGAAGGTACCCCTACTGAATCTGATGGAGCTTATGTCTGATAATGTGGATGGCATGGCCACTGCCTTGCCAAGCACTCAGTTCAGGGCCAAAAGTTCTGGGGCCCCAGATCTATTATCTTTTTGTTCCAGTACTTTGAGTATTACTCATACAAAAATAGATGCTGGCTATGACAGCCTTTGCATGGCAAGCTTTAATTGTTCACTTCCTCTTACCTTAATTTACTGCCACAGTGGTGACACCGAAAACATGATTTATGAAAGGTCTGCTTGTCGGCAACCAGGCACTCCATTGGATAAACTCTCTTTTGACAAAGTAGGCACGTTTCCTTTCCCTGAACTTGCAGTTTCTAGAAATAAACCAGACAGGGTGTCAGTGCTTTGTGTTGTTATTCATTCCCCCCCTTTCAAAATATACACAGAACGTTTCATCTTCAGAAGAAAAGCTGAAACACTTGGCCCTCAAATGATTAACACTTGAGCCTCCAGTTTAAAGAAATCAACAAAGACCACGTTAAAATGAAACCTGTGCTTCCTTCTCGGAAGAGTTGACTTCTGTCATTATTCTGAGGACACCACACACATGCTTCAATACATTGGTAGGGTGATGGGAAAGCTGAAGGTTGAATGATGCATGCCTCATGTCATTACATTGTCACTATCATATATGACGCAAATGCTTACACAGCCAGTGCTCCTGGACCCCAGTCTAACTTTGGAAGCCCAGGTGGACTCGGTGGCCAGAGGCGCCTTCCTTCAGCTGTGGAAATTATACCAGCTACGGCCCTACCTGGACGAGCGGAGTCTCATGACAGTTACACACGCACTGGTAACATCTCGTATAGATTATTGCAATGCGCTCTACGTGGGGCTGCCTTTGAAGATGGTCCGGCGACTGCACCTGGTCCAGAATCGAGCTGCGCGGCTGGTGAGTGGTGGAGCCACTAGAGATCACATCAAGCCGATTCTGTTCAATTTACATTGGTTACCAGTTGCTGCCCGGGCCCAATTCAAAGTGCTTGTTTTGACATATAAAGCCCTAAATGGCTTAGACCCTGGATACCTGAAGGACTGCCTCCTTCCATATGAACCTACCCGGCAGTTAAGATCTAGCCAGGGGGCCCTTTTGAAAGAGCCATCCCTCAAGGAGGTAAGAGGGATGGCTTGTAGACAAAGGGCCTTTTCGGCAGCTGCCTCCGGACTATGGAATGCCCTCCCAACTGAGATTCGTCTGGCAGCGACGTTGATGACATTTCGGCGCCAGGTCAAAACCTTCCTGTTCCAGAAGGCTTTTAATTGAAATAACATCAACTGTGGGTCCTGATGGCAATTTTATATATATTTTAATTGCATTTTAAATGTTCTGAATTTTTATTGTATTTTAAATGTTGTAGCCGCCCAGAGACCTTTGGGTAGTGTGGGTGGCATATAAATTAAATAATAAATAAATAAATAAATAAACAAGGAGGGGGCACCCCCATATATAACAACTTTGCTTATGCATATATCCTGATGTCCCCCCCTCCCCATGTATGTCCCATAGATCTTTGGTTTGGCCCAGCATGACTTTCTTATGTTCTTAAATATTTGTATTTATCCAATAATAGTATCTTCATTTCTGAGGAGAAATATAACTGAGCATATCTTCTCCTGGAAAGTTGTTATTGTTTTTGTTGCTGTTATATAATTACAGTACTTACACTATAATTAGCACTTCAAATTTATGCAACGTTTTATGTAGTCATCTTTTTTTCCTGCCTGGTATTCCGAATCCCACTTAAACATAGTGAGATTGCCTTCTGACGTTCTTAAGATAGGGCTACAAATCTCTTTTGAAAACCCTACAATTTACATTGTCATTCACAAAATGAAGTGAAGCAGCCTTAATGTGTTCTCTGGCTGAAATTCAATAGGAATCACAACTACATTATACCCACTGAATAGTGAGGATTTGGCGATTAAGTTCCATTGACGGGCCAACAGGATTTCAGCCTCTGTATGTCTGCTCTACTCTGGACTAGCCATTTTGAAATGAATGGGAGCTAGGCAAAATCACACAAGAAATTTTACACCATGCAAATCCAAAGGCCTTCATTCAATTTCTTTCTTCCCACATCATCCCATGTTATTTGTTTCGGTGAGGTGTTACTTGTGTAACTTTATTACCTGGGAAAATGTTTTCATTAGTGAATTCAAGTGATGTATACTTACCTTTGCCAAACTGAACCTGAAAGTGTCAGTATTGGTTAGTCATGATTAGCCCACAAATCAAGACACATGCCATTGGAAAAGGGAGAAAGAATAAAGATTTCTCAGAGAGAGAGAGAGAGAGAGAGAGAGAGAGAGAGAGAGAAATAAAGGGGAGAAAACACACTGAGATTAATGTTAGTTCTGCCACTCCACCCTGCCAGTGACTCTTGTTAATTGCTCAAAATGTTTTATTGCCATGACGCCATACTCTTATAGGCATTAAAAACTTCCTTCACACCTTGCATGCTCATTTACCACTTATAAACTCTGCTTCCTCGTGGAAGCTGCGCCTGACTTCTGCTTCGGCAGCTTCCGACACCGTGTAGCCGAGGCTTTTAAATACTTGCTCACTTTCTTGCCAGGTCTTCTGAAAATTCCTCAGCAGCTCTTCAGGTGAATCAGCAGCAGAAATATCCAAAATGTGCCCGGAGATGACGTCTTCGTATGTTGGAGGTGCACGCTTGAAGCCAAATCCTCCTGACGGCGTCCCATCTGTGCTTTGTAGCATGGAGGTAGCCATCCGTGATTCGACAACCGTGTTCTCAAAGGAGTCCATGCTGGAGGAGCCCGCCATGGGTTCAAATGAGTGCTCTTTGATGGCACACTGTTTTGGTTTGGAGGGTTTATTTTCCCTGGGTTCCCTTTGCCATTTTTCTAAGGGCTCTGGAAAGCTGTCTTTTAGCTTTTCACTCTCTAGAGCACCTTGAGTGAATCCTTCCTTTCGAAACTTCTGTCGTCCGTGCTTTATTTTACCACTGGCTACACCATTTTCGATATATCTTTTCTGGGATATCACCTCAGGCTTGGGTTTGTCATGAAATGTTCCTAACGTGATATCTATTTGCTCCTCACTCTCAGTGCTCAGTCTCTCAGGTACTTGTGGTGCTTTCCTTATGTGAACGGTCTGCTCTGAGGCTTCAAACCTGTGCACAAGCCCTTTAGGATCTGATTTAGGAACCTCAAACTTCTGAGCAATGGAAACAGAGTCCAGATTTTGTCCGTGCAGCCCTACGCCTTCTGGAATGTTTCCTCTCTTTCTGGAGAAATATGTCTTGTTCTCTTCCGAGTCTTCATGAGTCTCTTTCTTGACTGTGACAGCATTCACCTGTGGTTCAGCCACAGGTGGCATTTTTGAAGATAAAACATCAGCTTGCCTCATGTCGATCTTGATTTGTCGCCGGAGTGTTGCAGGAGACTTAACTATCTCTGACCTTTTCTCCACAATAGGAATTGGGGTTACGGATCTATTTTGTGTTGCTGCCCCTTGAGACAGTTTGACGGTGGCATCTTTCAGCTTGGCAAGTTGCTCAGAACGGCTCCTGGGAGAGGAGGGAGAGGGAGAAGGCGTGGAGGGCTGTATCTTAGAGGTTGGTGTCGCAGATCTGGGCGGGGGCGATGGTGGCACTGGGGTGCTTTCCCTTTGGACAGGAGATAAGAGTTCCCTGAGAGGGGATTCAATACGTCTCGATTCAATTGTAATGTAAGTTGGTGAAGGCGCTCGTGTTCTAAGGGAGGGTGAAGAGGTTGTGGCTTCTGAACATCTCTGTGCTCTGACCTGCTGCCTTGTTTCTTGACGTGTCACGGTTTCTTTGACCATCTCTTTTGCCTTCTGCGACTCTTTCTGGCTACATCCGGTGCTGACTTTAGCTATTTTCTGCGATGACCCTGTCACACTGGGGGTGTCTTTCCTCGATTTCAGAGGCTTTGTGCTCGTCATGGCTGCCTGGATTGCATCTTCACATGTTTGCAGCATTTGGGTAGCTTGGGCTTTAATAACCAACAACTCCTCTTTCATCTTTTCCACATTATTCTCTTGTGCAACACAAGTTAGGCTTTGTTTCCTCTCTTTTTCTACCAGCCATTCTGGAACAACGTTGAAGAACGCCTGAAATGTTTTGATTCCATTTTTATTTGGCTCAAACTCAAACTCTTTCACCTTGGCTAAAACCTGCTGCACTTCTTCACGTTTTCTCAGGAACTCTAATATATCCACAGAGCTTTTCTGTTTACTCTGCTGAGGCAATCCTTTTGGTGTACTAGGTGGTACAGTTTTTTTCTGTGTAAGCTCCTGTTTTGGACCCGTGGTCTTACCAAGGCCTTCCTTTTGTTGAAGGAGCTTTTCCTTGGCACTTTCCCTTCCTTTTAGACTACTGTATTCCTGGGACAGGTTCTTATTCTGGAGGTTTGTTTCCAAAATAAAAGTCTTCTCTTCTTGTGAAGTCAAAGCCTGTGAGTCTTGGTGGATACCAATAATCTTTTGCCTGACCATTTTTTCTGATTTTTTGCTAATCTCTTCTTGGTTCTCTGGAATTATTACTCGTTCTTCTTTAGAGCAGGCAGTAATCTGACTCTGCTTTCCTTTCATTCCCACAAACACTCGTCCTTGCTCTTGCCCTTGATGGGATGCATTGCCACCAACTTCCTGCCTGCCTCCTGTGTGCTTTAAAGGTAATTTTTTCATGTGCAGTTTCTCATCAACGTTCATATGACTACATGGCTCTGGGGTGCTTTGCTTTTTCCTAACAGAGTTGCTTATATTATCTTTATGTTTTTCTTGAATTTGTTGCTTCACAATATTCTGAACCTCTTGCGTTCTGTGTACCATAGAACCCTTTTGGGTTTCGTGCAAGCTCTGATCTGAAGTAGGAAGCTTGATGGTTTTGACTTTGAAAGCAGGGGACACACTTTTGTTTTTTGACACATAGGATTGCTCCTCGGCACATTGTTGCTCTCTCTTATGCATACTGTCTTCTTTGTGGCTCTGTACCTTCTGAGGGGACAGACAACGTTTTATAAGGTTCTGTGAATCATGCGTGGCTTTTTTTCTAATCAGCTCCTCTGCTGAAGTTTGTGAAGCTTTTTGGGACTGCTCAGCTACTGCTTCTTTTGTCGTAGTCTGTGGTCCATCTGCTAGCAATCCCACAGCACGTGGTTTCATCTGACATTCCAGCTCCGATGGCACATCTGGAGCTGGAGAGAGCAATGGACCTTGTGGAGGGGGTTGGCGCTGTTTCTCGGGTTGTAGAACTGTCTGACAATTTTCTGTCTCTGTCTGAACTGAACTTCCCCAGGTTTCACTGTTTCTTCTCATAATCAAAACATCTCTGGCTTCCTTTTGCTCCATCTCCTCTTTTTGCTGCCTGTATTTTTCTTCTGCAATCATTAAAGGGGTTTTAAATTTCCTTATGTAGGGCTTAGACTTCGTCTGTGTTGCCTCTGCTGGAAGGGAAGGCGATCTAACAAGTGGAAATGCAGCTGCTGTTTTTGTTACCGAAGACGCCTTTGACTTGGTCCCTTCTGTAACTGCTGAAGGCCTTTTAACCTCTTCGATTTTTGTGCAGACTTTTCCCTCTTTATTTTCATGGCTAATAGTTTCTGTCATCACAGTGTTTTCTGTCTTTTTTTCTATGGTTTTTGTGGTATCCCTTTGTGGGTGTAGCTGAATAATATTTGGTTGAATTTTTGTAGACATTTTAGTCCTGCTTGCTTCTAACTCCTTTCCAGGTTCCATCTGAAGGTGTTTCTTTCCATGTGGACCTCTGCTGGGCTTAATGTCGGCAGAAGGCTGAACGGGTGGCTCCAGTGTTCTGTCTAGATGTTTGAGAAATTGTTCTTTCTTCTGCTTTGGCTGAGGAAGAGGTGGTGGAGGCAAAGCACACGGCCACTCGTTTTCAGGTTGGTTTTCCATTGAGGGCAGTGGAGGAGGAAAGCGCTCATAGTCAGCCTTAGCCTGTTCTATGTCTGGTGGAGGGGAAGGGAAGCGTTCAGTGTCTGGTGGCATAAATAAATGTGTTAGAGAAGGAGGAGGTGGTGGCAGTGGGAGGTCAAACTCAGATGAAGTGACTGAAAGGGGTGGTGAAGGAGGAGGTGGGGGTGGGGGTGAACTGGTTTCTGACCTGTCTGGGGCTCTGGGGTCCTTTTTTGCATTCAGGGGATTTTTCATCAGAACCTTGAAGTCTGACTCAGCAGCTTCCACCTTAGCCTTTCCTCTGAACCTCAGCATGGATTTCTCCTTTTCCTGGATAACATTATATTTTTGCTTCTTTTCAGCTTCTTTCAAGTGGCTCTGCGTTTCCTGTGCGACTCTGATTTTTTGATTGGTTTTTAAATTTTGTTCTGATGCCATGGAAACCTCAGCCTGGCTTGCCTTAACATTATTTTTCTTCTCTTTGCAAACCTCCTCTGTATGCTGAGATTGTTTTCTTTCTCGCTGCAATTCATGTGTCTGGAAATGTCCAGCTGTTTTGGAGATCATGCCGGCTGACATGTTGACTGGTTGCTCTGCACCCCTGCGACCGGAGTTGTGATCACACATTGACAGCGTTGATTTTTCTTTTATCTTCTCCTGCTGGTTCCTGTCAAAATATTCGTCCTTTTTACATTCATGAAGTACATTCTGTTTCCTTCCACTAATTTGCTTTGTGGACTGTAGAACACTGGATGAACTGTCCTTCCTCAGCATTCTGCTTACCTCTGATTTCTCACTCCTTTCATCCTTCTGAACATTGCTAGAGAAATAAGATTGATCAGTATGACTCTTTGCTCTTCCTTTTGTTACATCCTGCACTCTGTCTTTATTGATAGACTTATCTGCTTTTTCAGTGACTTTGTACTGGGTGTTGGATAAGCCCTTTGTAGTTTTTTGAGCCGCCTCCTGTACCTTGCTGTGCTGGTTCTGATCCAAATGGGTTGCCCTGGTGTTTTCTGTAAGGATAGTATTCTTTCTAGGTTTCCTTCTTTCACTGTGTTCCTGATCAGGTTTTATATTATTTTGTAGACACTCAAGTCTGGCTAGTTGTTGAGGTGGCTCCAAGAGGATCTCGCTGGTTCTTTCCATATTACTATGTGCAGCTGCTTGGTGTTGCCTTGTTTCCCCTTCTGTGGAGACATCTGCAGATCTTCTTATGGTCCTCAGGATCTCTTCTCTGGCCATTTCTTCTTCATTTACTTCCACAAAAGACTGCTGAGCTGCTTGTAAAGACCATAGTGTGGACTGAAGGTCACTTCGAACAACCCCTTCTCTCAAGACTTCATTTTTTGTAAGTCTTGCTTTCTCCAGCGATTCAATAGCTTGTTTAATATCACCGGGGATGACATCAGGTTTTTCTGTTGCTTTCAGCCGATAAGCTGATTCTTTGAGAGACTGTAGGATTGCAAGAATGTCCGCTTTTATAATTTCTTCCTTTGCTGTAACAGTTGTTTGATTTATGGCCTGACTGAGGGAATTTAAAGCTGCCTTCAAATCACCTTTTACAATTTCTTCTTTGCATACATGACAAGATGTATTCTGCGGCTCAGTCATAAAGATTTTAACGGCATTACACACATCTCCAGGGATGATGTCAGTTTCATTAACAGTTCGTTGAATCTGGGACTTCTTTTTCTTAAGCAAAAGCTTTGTTCCTTCAACATCGCCACCGATTATTTCCTCCTCCTCCTCTTCTTGATTCCTTCTTGCCAAAGTTTCATCTGTCCCTGTCTGAAGTAGTTTCAGATAATCCAGAGCTCCAGCTTCTATGCATGTTGTAAAAAACTGAACATTTCCCCTTTCGGAATCATCTAACTTGGGTCTTTCTGAGACTTCATTATTCATTGCAGAAGAGAGAAGGCTGTGAATGGTACGCTTCACATCACCACCAATAATTTCATCTTGCTTGCTTTCATTGCTATTGTTTTTGTGAAACAGAGAATAGACTGTCATATTAATATCGCCCCTCTCGTTTTCCTGAATTAAAATTCCACGTTTTACAGAGCTGTCCTTAGTAAGCAGTTTTTTAATGGCTTGCTGTATATCACCTCTCACTATCTCTTCCTTTTCAGTGGGAACATCTGTTGATCTATTTAGCAACTGCTGTTTGGTCAAATTTACATTGCCCTTTTCATCTTCATTTACTTTACTCTCCCTTTCAACAGTGCTTGGTTTGGAAAGCAAGTTCATCATGATGCTGGCTAGATCTCCTTTAATAATCTCTTCTCTTTGTATTTCAGGAGCTTCCTGATTCATCAGCTTATATATTGCCATCCTGACATCTCCAATTTCATTTGCCTCCAAGATAATTCCGGGAGATTCTACAACTTTGTGGGAAAATAGCTCCTTTAAAGTTTCTTTCACACTTTTTCCTATGATTTCTTCCTTTTCAACCTTACATTCATTGAATTCATGGAAAGGCGTTGTTTCAAAGAGCCACGTGGTGGTCTTTACGTCTGCCTGTGGGATTTCTTCTTGATCTAATTTTGCGTCAGCTTCATCGGTTTCCTTAATGGAGTCTAAGGGCTGGTTTTCAAAAAGCCACACTGCATGCTGAACATCACCTTGTTGCACATCTTCCTTTGTGACTGTCTTCACATCTTTATACTCTGATTCTTTTCCTCTAATCTCATCTATGGTGTGTGTTTCAAACAACCAGGTAGACGTCTTAACATTGCCTTTCTGTATTTCACTGACACTCACTGTCCGCACATACATGCCTTGTTGGGTTCCTTCAGACTCAAATAATTTCTTGTTGGCTTTCACATCCCCACCTTGAATGCTGTCCACTGTGGGAACAATAAATTTTTCTTCATCAGAAATAGTGTCTAGTGGTTGTGTTTCAAACCGGTATCTGACCGAACTAACATCTCCTTTCTGAATATCTTCCTGAGTGACTGATTTTATGACATACACATTATCTGATTTGTTTATTGATCCCAATGGCTTTGTTTCAAACAGCCACCGAGTCCCACATACATCTCCTTGAATCACTTCTTCTTTCTTAACTGTGGTCACCTCATGGTAATGCCCTTCTCGGTCCTGAATTGCATAAAGCGGTTGGGTCTCAAAGAGCATTCTGTAGCTGCTCACATCTCCCTTTGTTATTTCTTCTTCATTAATGGTTTTTTTGGTGCTTACGTCAACAGAAGATTCATCTTTAATCTGGTCCAGAGAAAATGTCTCAAAGATGAAGCAGCCTTTTCTCACATTTCCACCCTGTATGTCAGTAACAGTTTTCACAGAGGTCTTGTCCTCTTGGTGTTCGGTTATTTCATCTAGAAACCGGTTCTCAAAAAGCCAACAGCACTGCAAAACATCCCCTTTCTGTATATCTTCTTTTGGTATGGTTTTCATTTTGTGCAAAATTTCCTCCGAGCTGGAATTTATTGAGTCTAATGATTGGTTCTCAAATTTATACTTCATGGTAGAGACGTCACCGGGCTGGATATCAATTTCCACAACTCTCTTGAATTCTTTGTTTTCCCCTTGTATGTTTTCTAGCTTTTCGGTTTCAAAGAGGAAGCATGCTGTGCAGACATCACTGCCCTGAATGTCTTCCTCCTTCACAGTGTGCAGCTTTGCGGCTGTGTCTGCATCTTCCCCTATGGCATCGAGAGGCTGAGTTTCAAAAAGCCAGGTACAAGTTTTGACATCTCCTCTCTGTATCTCCTCATTATCTGTCACTGCCTTCTCTTTGTCATAAAGCGACTCCATGGGCTGCGTTTCAAAGAGCCACCTGCACATTTTCACATCCCCTTTGACAACCTCTGTTGTTTCAGACTGTTCTCTGCTTTCTTCATCTTCTGTATGAGCGAAATATTTAATGGAGTCAAGAGGCTGAGTTTCAAACAGCCACTTAGCTGTTTTCACATCACCGGACTGTACTTCTTGTGAAGATATCCCCTTGATAATTTCAATTTTTTCAATACTCTCATCAAACTGATCAATGGGCTTGGTTTCAAAGAGCCACCTACAATTCCTGACATCTCCTGTTACAATCTCCTCTTGTCGAATGGTTTTGACTTCATGATATTTCCCAAAGCGATCCTGGATGGCATACAACGGAGTTGTTTCAAAAAGGGCTTTGTTTAATTTTACTGATCCTTGCGTCACACCTTCAATGTGGATTTTATGAGAGCCGTCATATTTGCTGAAATGACATGTTTCAAATGCATGTCTGCAACTCCGCACATCTCCCTTGTCAATTTCTTCCAGTTTCACCGTTCTTATCGATTCTTTTCTTTCCTCTCTAATCTGTTCGAGAGGCTTAGTTTCAAACACCCATTTCTGGTGCCTCACATCCCCTTTTTCTTCCTCAGTGGCAATTGTTTTTTGAAGCTTCCCTACATCTGGACTGTCTTTTAGCATATCCATAGGCAACGTTTCAAATAAATGTTTAGTGGTGCTTACATCCCCTCCTATTATTTCCTCTGTAGGCAAGGGGTCTGTATCTTCAGTTTCCTTCAAGGCATCCAGAGGTTGGGTTTCAAACAGCCAACACTTTCTGCACACATCAGTGCCTATAATGGTTTCCTTTTCCACAACAGATTCTTCTGAGTCCTCTTTAATAGTATCCAAAGGCTGCGTCTCAAACAACCATTTTGCTCTGCCCACTTCACCTTTGATGTTTTCTTCCATGGAGATTCCACGGACAACTTTGATTTCCGAGGAGTCTTTGTTGATTGTATCTAGAGGTTGCGTCTCAAACATCCAGCGTACTGTCCTAACATCTCCTTTCTCAAGATCTTCCCTGTGGACAGTTTTAATCTCTAGCATTTGGCCCATATTGTTCCTAATGACATACATTGGTAGAGTCTCAAAATGCCTTATGCTTCTTTTCACATCCCCTTTAATCTCTTTCAGTTCAGACCTGAGCTGCAGCAATGTAGCTTCGTCCACTGAATAAAGTTGCCCAAGGCTATCCAAATGCTGCGTTTCAAACATGTATCTCACTGTTTTGACATCCCCACCAGTGATTTCCTCACTGGAGATTTCCTCAGATTCTTGGTCTTTCTCGTGGTGAATTTTGTTCATTGAGTCCAATGGCTGAGTCTCAAACATCCAAGCAGCTGTGCGGACATCTCCCCGAGCCAGTTCGGGAATTTTGTCTGCACTTTCTGCACTATCTGAAGAATGTGCACCCAGTGCATCGATGGGTTGAGTTTCAAACATCCAGGTAGTATATTTAACATCTCCCCCTGCAATTATTTCTTGATCTGCAATGCTCTTAACATTATCTGGGTCTGGGGATTCATCTTTGATTGAATCCAAGGGCTGATTCTCAAAGATCCACCTCATTGACTGGACCTCACCCTTTAGGATTTCATCCCATTCCAAATATTCCCTTTCTGGGCTCAAGCACTTCTGAGGGCTGCTTTCTGTGTTTTCAAAGACATACCGAACCTGGCGCACATCTCCTCCTACTGAGCTAGCTATTTCGGTGCTGCTACTAGAAACTATCTCTGAAACATCATTGAAGTAATCTTTTTCCAAATTCTTTCTCAATTCTGGATGAATATGCTTGTACAAACGCTTCAATTCATACAGATTTCTTTGCTTAGAGTATAAATCTTTAGGAACTGGTTGCTTGGGTGGAGAGGGAGAGGGTTCAGGGGACTGGGAAAATTTTGTCATTTCAGATGGCACTTGTAGTAAATCTGGAGATGGTGGAGGAGGGAATTCCTCAGTACTCTCATAGTTAGAAGAAGAGAAGGAGGCAGCAGCTGAGGCAGCAGAGACATGCTCTGTTTTCCTTGCCGTATGCCTTTCCTGCCGTCTACTTGTAGAAGCTGCTTCAGCAGAAGAGGAGACGGCTCTAGCAGGCCAGGCCATTTCTTGACACTCATTTCCAATCTTGAAGGGACAAAATGAGTTTTGTTTTTAAAATAAAGAAACAATGCCATCATTTTGTATTCATTCAATAGAGCCCACTCAGTCCTGCAAAAGGCTAAGTAACAGGAGTTTAAAGAAAATCAAATTCTTCATCTACCCCCAGCTCATCCAGTTTTTCATCTAACTCAATTAAATTGCAAGAGGGCAATTCAGCATACTCTCTGAAGTATATCAGTAACTGACATAATTCCTCTATGGCACTGACTTCTGCAACTAGCTAATTTATATCTACAGCATTTAATTTATCTAAAGTCTAATATATCTATTCTGTATTCAGATATCATCTTGATATCTGCATTTATGCCATATTGACAGATGGCACAATCATAGGTTTATGATTTGTATTAGAATTGAAACAGACAGGAGACAGTGATGGAGAAAGAATATAACCATCTTTTACATATATAAAAGAAAAATATCAGTGCAACAGCTGTAAATGGGTGTTCATCAAGGAATGTACTGTACTAAAGAATGTTAAAAATAGTCAAGATCATTTCTGTTGAATATAGTTTAATCTACCAACTGCATGTAATTGTTCAATACTATGACCGAAATCCTATTGCTTAGTGTAGTAAGCCATACCTAGAGTAGGACCACTGAATCATTTGGGATTTGGTCACTCAACTCCTTTGTAAATTCCAGTGATTCAATGGGTCAACTTTAGTTGTGACTTATTCTGCTTCCAGTGATTCAGTGGGTCTACATATTTTAGTTGTGACTTGTTCAGGCAGGTGACACCCTGTTTGCTAAACCACAAAGGACACTTTACTAGCCTCTGTGACTTACCCTGCCATCACTAAATTGGTCCCAAGGAATGGAAGCTGGGATCACAACTTGCCAAGTACCCCCATCATTTACAGAAAATTGCATTGCAAATATCGCCTAGGTGAACGGAATGAAATGTGTGACTACTCTCAGTTTTACAGCTATTGTAACTCAAAAAGGAATTTTAGCTTTACAATAAAAAACAACAACACAATGATGTCAATTCAGTTTTGTTCACATAGAGCTTTCCCTTTTCCAAGCCACTGACCTTGATCGGCTTTACAGGCATTCCACTCTCACGGCCAGAATGAAAGATCTTTCCCTGGGCTGTTTTTTCAAAATGCTGCTTTAAAGACTGGGCAGAAATCTTTGGTGTCTCATCATTCATACTTGCATTGACCACTGTGAGATGAGAAGGAAACGGAAAGTGTTATTCCAAGAAGATAATTAATTAAAATATGTTTGCTTTAGTCATTGGTTCAGGGCTGGCCGCCTTGGATGCACCCTGTTGTCATCTGAAAAATGTGGCTGGGATTTTCTTTCTTTCTTTCTTTCTTTCTTTCTTTCTTTCTTTCTTTCTTTCTTT